TTTGGAAATTTGAATGATCAGCACCCTCGCAATGATTGCGCCTCCTGCTTCGGTGTCGGTTTCACCACCTTGGGCTCGTTTTGTGTCGCCTGCCAAGTGCCCGAGCCAGGACTTAATGATATGATGCTTGCCATGATGCGGGGCCTCGGCCTTTCTCTTGTCTTTCTTCGGCTGGTCCGGGACTTTGGCCTTGGGCACCTGTCGTTGTGGCACTCTCTGTCTCTGTCTTTCTGTCTGTCTGTTCTCGTGTTCTTGCTCGGCTCACTCCCTGCCTTCACAGCAGCTGCCAGCTCCGCTTCTTTCTCAAGTACTTCTTGTTTGAGCTGCGTCAGCTCGCGATCTCTGGCCTTAAGCTGGTCCACCTGGGTGCTGACGAGCTCCCGGCGCCGGGACGCTTCACGCGCCCTGATCTCCTCCGCCATATTGTCCATCTGCTTCCTGTGGTCCGTCTGCATGGTCTGCATGGTTGCCTGAAGCTCTGCTCGGCTCTTCTCTGCGCCCTCATAGAGCATTTTCCATTGCCCAGCATCTGGCAGCGAAGCCACCAGCGACTGGTGCTGGCTCTGCCACTCCCTGTTCCAGAACTCAAGCTGGCCATTCCTCTGCTTCAGCTCAGCGATCTCGGTGTCCCGCATGGCGACCACATTGTTCAAATCATCCACCTTGTGGCGTGCTTCGTCGAGGTTGTGCTTCAAGCGTGTCTCTGACTCTCGCAGCTCTCCAAGGCGTTCTGCTAAGCGTTCAAAGCTTCTGGATGTTTCGCGGCCGCGCTGCGACGGGCGCCAGGGGCGCGCGCCGCGTCCGCCGGGTTGCCGGGGTTCGCCACCAGTCCGGTCCTTCTCGTTTAACTCTTCGAGAACCTTTGCCGGGGAAGGTCTCGCCGCTGGCACTGCATCATCGCTGCGATTCGTGGGCTCTGGCGGGGTCCCTTTCCCAACTGGAACCTCAGCTCGCCTTGCTGGCACCATCTTCGCCTTTGCTACTGAACCTGCCACTGCAGTAGCCAGCTTTGGCCTTGGCGGCACTGTAGCCATGCCTGCCTGATCTCGGGAAAAGACAGGACTTCGAACCGTGTTTTGTTGCCCCGATGTGCTGCTGCTGCTCATGCTGCTGTTGTGTTGAAGAAATGCTCCGTGCCAAGAGTCTACCGTTTTTGCTGTGAGTCTGCGAAATCGAGTCTCCTACATGTGGCTTTGGGCTCCAACAGACGCTGCATTGAGAGCCCATCAAGCGTAAAGATTTAGACGCGGGTCACACGATATGCCTTTGCAAACAGTATCCACGACTGTCCTGTTGAACACACTGAAAGACGAGGCTTAGCTTGGACCCTGGCAGCAGATGAGGCACGGAAGGAGTCCCTTGCCTGGGCCAGGGCATCAGTTCAGGCGAATCGGTTTAGGGTTTGTTATTGGGGAGGAAGGCGATGCCCTAAAAAGAATCAGTCCCTTACCTAGGTTAAGGTTAAATGCGATAGTTAGGTTCTGCGGGGTTGCTCAATAATGTCCTGCGGAAGCACATTTTCAAAATGCATGGGCAGCTGGATTGAGGATTTAGGGGAGTTTCAGGCATATAGAGGTTTAAGTTTGGAGTCTAGCCCACTCTAAAACTTGTAAAGGGTTTAGGATGTAAGGCGAGGGCCAGGTGCTGCTGAAGTACCTAAGCTAGGTGCTGCAAAAGTACCTTTGTGTCCCTGACAAGAATCATCCCAATGCCAGAATGAAATTGAAACACTGTTCCTGTGAATATAATATATAATCTACACCAAGCCTCCGAAACACGGATCTGTCACTTGGCTTAGGGTTGGCTGCCCCTATACATTAATCTGCCTCCCAGTCCTCAATAAAGTCTGTGCTCCGACGGTTTCGTCGATCGGTGATGGCATCCTGGACATGAAACCTTCCTCTATTCAAAGCAAAGCCTCAATGCCTGGGCTGAAGCTTTTAACTTCAACGGAAGTCTTATTTAAAAGGTGCTTGCGCAGCACTCAGCCCGTGGTACTTCTGCAGCACCAGTCGAGGCGGGAGACCGGTCTATTCGGGGGTGCTTGGCGTCCCGCTGCAAGGGTCGCCTGATGGGGGTGCAAGTTTGGGGTTTTAATTCAAGGCTGAGGCGGAAGATCGCCTTTGGTTGTTGGGACTTTTGGGCTTGGGTCTAGGGTCGGGGGCTGTTTTGGAGGATCGCCTAATGGGCCTTTAGGCGACCCACCGTACCGTCACCGTCACTGAGTCTTCTGAGGGCCATGCACACACACCACCCGAGTCTGTGCTTCACATTGTGAAGCGCAAACTCCGGTGATCCATGCCTTTTGGCTCAAACTGTTGCTAGCTGGCAAGATATCAGTCAACGGGACCAGCCGAGTCTGTGCTTCACACCACATGGCCAAAGCATGCAAGAAGAAAGGGACTTCCAGAAATCGCGGGCGACGCTCAGGCTCCAGCACGAAGAAGCTTGGCCAGGCGGCCACGCTTGCCGGTGGCCTGTGGGCTGCATGGATCAAGCACCTGCTGGCAACAAGACCGACGTGGATCTACATCCATGCCATTATGTGCCACATGTTCTGTCTCAGGGCTACGGAAGGTTTGGGACTTCGCGCATGCGATTTCGATTGGAGGGGACGCAGTGTTCGCATCAGAGCTCTGAAGCGGCAACCTGAGGCTGGGCCATCAAGAAATCGTTACTGAAAACGTAGAATAAATGAGATAGCTTGCCCCCTGCAGGTCAAGAAAATGATCATGTCATCGTGCCTTCCCATGCTGCGTAGCCTACGCAAGCGAGGCAAGGTGCGCCGCCGCACGAAGCAATGGGGTGCCTGCGGAAGCCGAACAATTACAGATGTTTGGCAATTTCCCAAAGGGAAGGAGTTTCTGTTCCCTAACAGGAAAGGCTCAGGGCCCATGACGAAGGACATTGTGTGCCATAACATCGTGAGAGCTCGAAAGACATTCCGGCCGCCTTCATCCCTTGCAGTGATGCTCGACACCTCCAAGATTCGCAGTCACAGCGCTAGGCACAGGCGAATCAACGACTTCAAGTCATCAGGCTGCTCACCAGAAGTAGCGATGGTGTATGCACGTATTAAACACAAAAAAACCTTTGATGCATACGGCCGCTTAGACCAGGCTCAGTCAGGCAAGGCTCTCCAGCAGAACAAAGTTCTGCAGAAGATGCTGAAAGCTTTGTACCCATCGCCATAACGAAGTTTGCCACAGTTGACTGACTAACTGGTTGCAGTTCTCCTACAATCGTTGCACCGTACAGTTTCCAGGTGCAGTAGTACGATTTGGATTTTCTTCTACAGTTCGCGATTGCTGTTGCTGACTAACAGTGGCAGACCACGCTCTCCGGCGAACTACTGCTCAAAAAGCTACGTCTATCGTTTAGACTTAGAGACTTGCGGCGAGATCTTGTTCAGGACTCCCTCGAAGATGCGCTGGACCACCGTGAGCGTGAAGGCATTGCCCGCCATGCACTTCAGAGTGCGTTCAGAGATTTCCACTCCAGGGGCAAGCCGCAAGTCAGACCACTGAATGCCTTGGGTTGCTAGAATCTCTTTGCACGTTGCAAGGTCTTTCTTGCAGAGCACATAGTAAGAGTTGGCGTGCGAGACAGTGACGGTAGGGAAGCAGTCGAACTTCACTGAGGGCCCATATTGATCGGAGGGTGCCAAGTCCAAAACCCACGGGTCTGTGACTTTCCAACCTGGTGACTTCTTCTTGATAAGTGCCATGCCCTTGGACAAATTGTTCAAGAATGTCTTGCTGAAGTTCTTGAGATTCGCCGTCTGCCCAGGCTTGCGGTGCTCCAAGATGGACTTGAGCGGCGGGGCATCAATGGGCGAAGGCCAGGCTATGGGAACCTTCACAGCAGCCCGATCTAGTGCCAGGGTGGCCACCACGTACACTCGGCGGCGTTTGGCAGGAACTCCCCCATACTCGTGGCTGTCCATGACCTCGCAATTGAACAGTACGGGCTTAGGGAGGCTTTACATCATGTCACAATTTATTAGGGGTTTGCTAGGGGCTTTGTTTGAAACTCTCCTTGTGGCTGATCTGGTAAGCACCACCGCCGATCTTGCCGAGCTCACGGAAGAGGTAGGTTTTCACATCCTCGTAGGTTTTGTTTAGCACGAGCTCAGCCACATTCTCCAACAACACCACATTGGGCAAGAGAGCTCGGACCGTGGACAGGATTGCTTTCAGCACGTCAGACCTGGCGTCGTCGCTGCCCAAGTGCAGGCCTGCGCTTGAGTATGGCTGGCATGGAAAGCCCGCGCAATAGATCAAGTAAGCATTCGGGTGAGCCGATCGCTCTTGCACGAGCGGTGCCAGGGAACGCTTCGTGCAGTCAGTGTAGACAATCTCGGTCTCCGGGTGAAGCTTGCAATACACCTCGCGGTAGCGATCCTCAATCTCACTCGCGAACCATGAACGAAACTTGATTTTGAGGCGACGTAACGCCATGGCCGACACGTCAAGGCCAGAGCAGTCGGAACAGTACCAAACCTTCAAAGCAGCATTGGATGCCACTGCTGGCCGCTTATTGACACATTGCTTCTTGCTCACATCGTCGCGGGGCCCCGCTCCGCATGACACCGCCGCCGCTGGCCTTTTCATGACTTGATGGTGCTGGCGGCTGCGTCTGAAATTCTAACTTGAGCTAAAAATCCAATGATGTGGCTGGCGACTGAGACCACTGAGCACGCCCTCACTCCAAGCTCAACTGCGACATGACTTGAAACACATGTCTGTGCGAGCACATGTTGTGGCGCTGTCTGAAGGTTCCCGCTCGCGCGGATGGTAACCTGATGGCCGCTCCACGGCCACTGATCCGCTGAGTAGTGGCGCTGAACCATGCTTGCCTGTTCAAATCGCATTTCATGCGTTTTGACTACTTAATTATGCCACGACTGCAGAGCACACTTCTCGCGCAGGTAGGCTAAAATTTCGGAACCTCTCCAGTTACGTCTGGCGAGCGTTCCTCCGGCTCAGGCGTTCTCGGATCTAGCCTTGCTTTCGCATGGCCTCTTGGATCTTGCTCAGGAGCGCCTCACGGTCCCCACTCTCGCCACCGCCCTGCTCTGTGCCGGATTCCTCGGCAGTGCAGAGCTCATTGCCATTGCCACCAGCTTTGCCAGGAGTCTCGCCAGTGCCGACACTCGGAGTTGGCGGAGTCGTCTCACTACCGCCCTGGCCGCGGCCACGCCCGCGGCCACCGCGAGTGCCTCTGCCACGTCCACCGCGGCCGCCGCCGGGGTTGTTCTTGTCCTCGGTGCTGTTCTCGCCGCTTTGCTGTTGCACGTCCTTGGCGAAAGCTGGGTCGTACAGCTTCGTGTCGCTGCTGTCCACCATACCACACAGAACCCTTGAAGCAAGCTTGTCCATGATGGCCTGCTTGTGCTGCTCTGTGAACACTACGCCGGTGTAGCTGATCCTGTTCTTGATGCAGTAGTACGCCCAATGGCCCGAGCCTGGCGTAAGATCGATCACTGCGACCGGGCGCAGGCTGTGGGCCAGCTCAGCCGACACCAGTTCTGCACACTCGTGGTAGAAGCATGGCACGAGGTCAGTTGGACGAGTCCGTGCTTTCTTCTTGGCTGCTCCGTCCTGCTGCTGAGCACCGTCACCATCATCGTCTCCTTGATCCAACTCCACTGGCAGCCGTCCGCCAGGAAGTGGGAGGTTGTCTGAGCCGAAAATGTCCTTCTTAGAGGCGGCAGTGACTTGCCAGACTTTGGCGCTGTCGCTCCATTCCGGTTTTGCAAACGGGCCCAGCACGTTGCCGCGGGTGTTGCCCGCGAAGTGCAAACGGTTCTGAATCTTGAAGCTGACGGCATTGTTCAGTGTGATGAAAGACGCCGTCTCTGTGAGCTGCAGCGGGCACTTGCTCGCTCTCTCCATCCGCTGCTCGATGGAGTCATGGGTGTAGAAGATGGTCTGGTTAACCTGCTGGTATCTTTTTGACGGGAGCAGCTTGCAGACCGTTGACTCCACCCAGGAAGCGACATTACCGCCTCCCTTTCCCCCGTCCAGCACCACGAGGACATCGCCATCATCAAGATCTCCGTCAGGCCGCGATGCTAGCATGGCATTGAGAAGGCGCCGCAGCTGGGCCGGGCGAGTTGGGCCCATGCGATAGCGGCCTTGGCTACCGCTTTCGCAACACAATTTGACGTCCAACACAATCGCAACCCAGGCTTTCGTCTCTGGGTTCCCTCTGGCTTGAGCGGCCATTGAGTTCTTCAGCTCCTTCCCCACTTGTCCTTCGTCAGCGGCATTGTCGACGATGAAGGTGGATTGTGCTTGGACTTTTCGCTGGGCCATGCGCACCCCGCTCTGAATGCGCAGCATCACCTCGGAACCTTTCTCCGTCTCCGTGGACTCGTACATGATCTTCTCGGCCTCGGAGAGGTTGGCAACGGCAGCGTCGTCCAGAACCTTCGCGGCCTCAGTCCCGGCCTGCTGATCCGCACCGCATTCCTCAGCCGTAGTGTTCGTCGAGTTCTCGGTTTCGTAGGCCGTTGTGACTCGGGACATGAAAGACCTGAGCTCTAATACTATTATTATTGTAGTCCCATTTTACTTGGCCTTTATTATCATTGTGAACTCAAAATAAAATTAACCAGAACCAGGGGCCGGATTTCAGCATGATTGAGCGTATCCTCCGCGCTGCGGCGTGCCTTGATGTTTTGCTTCAGGATCCCATCAAACCGGTAGCCGTAGATGATGTTCTCCAGCAGGAGCAGGAAGTTGTCCGCGCTGGACGGCCAACTTCCTCGTTGCTGGTAACCGCCGTTAACAGGCTTGTCGTCGATGTAGCCCAGCTCGGACCGGAAGCTTTCCATGCAGCTCGCCAATCGTCGGATCTCCGAGCGGATGGCCTCGCTCCACGTTGCAAACTTCAAGTCCATCTCCCTCAGAAGGTAGTCCCTCAGTGTGCGCTTGAAGAGAAACAGCCGAACAAGAGAAACCTGGTCAGGTCCCTCTTTGAGGCTGCGGATCGGCACACTGTCACGCCCATCCACCCTTTGCCACCAATCCATCAGCATTGTGAAAGCCCATTGCTGAAGGTTCTCCTTTTTGTCGCATTGCACAACGACCTCGCGAATCTTATACACTGAGTCAAGAGGACAAACATCAAGCTGCTCCATGGTTTGCAAGATGTTGCGAACGGCCGGAAAGGAGAGGCAGGAGCGGTGGATCATCATCGCCACCTCGATGTACGTGGCTTTGACAGGCTCTGTCTTTTTCGCGTACTTGACGGTGTCGTAAAGGCTTGCAAGGCTGGACTTTGACAATTTCTTGTTCTCGCTGGCCTCCATTTGTCGTTTAAACTCTACGCATTCGTAGATGCGCATGAGCGGAGTTACCTCCGTGTTGTCCCTCAGAACGCCCAAGTCCTCTCGCGCCTGAACGACCGTCTTAAACACCTGCTCCACAAAAGAGGCGCTGTCTTTGACCTGAACAAGAACGGACTAGCACGGAACACCCGTACCTCACAACTCACTCACAGCAATTTCGAGATGGCCTCGAATGAAAACTCACAGCTCAGCAGAATCTCGTGCCACTCAGCGAGGATCTTGGCAGGTGCCCCTTCATCCACCGCCTTGAAGACTGCGAGGCGGAGAGCATCGCGGAGCTCGGGTGGTTCGGTGCACTGCAGGGCGCCCTTCAACTTGTGCGGCAGCTCGTTCTTCTCCAAGTAGACAACTATCTTGCACGGCATCTTGGCGGGCTTGTCGAAAAAGTGCTCACGGAGGCTCTCAAGCCGAGAGCGATACTTCGGCATATTGGGTTGCAACTCGAAACCAAGATTGGCCCAATACAACGGGCAAGCGCAGGTGTAAGTCTTGCCGGCAGAGAGCTTCTCGGCAGCCTTCGCGGCATCGTAGACGGGCACACCACACTCGTCGGTCGGATCGGATCGCCCATCAAGTCACCGAAGTAGTTCTTGATGGCAGCGTCGCATCTGGCCAACTCGGCTTGCAGCTCGGCATTCACAGAAGTATCCGCCGCAGGTGGTGCCGGGGGCACGACGACTATGGCCTTCGCCTTGGCCTTGCCTTTGGCTTTGGCCTTGGCAACCTTTTTTGCCTCAGGCTGCTGCGGATCCTCCTCCGGCTGGCCACGCTTACCCATGATTAGAGACTCGTGAGGGCTCCCAGACCAAACCGCTCGAACCTTGACCGAAAACACCTGCAGGGCAACGTGTTGCAGCTGACAGGTGAAGGAGCAAGCAGGGGCACGCGCGGGGCCACTAATTCGGAGCTGGACGTCCGGCTCCGGATTAGTGACCCTGCGAATGCGCAAATCATTGAAATAACACATGTTGCGATGCACGCCCACCTGTTATTTCAGGACGCTGCGCAATCGCACCTCCACAGATTCGGAGCTGGACGTCCGGCTCCGAAACAGTGGACCTGCGCGGGCGCACGTCCACTATTTCAGCCCGAGATTTTGCTCACTACCATTTGGTTTTCTTAAGGTTTTAATCCACTACTAAGATTCCGCGAATAAAATTCGGAGCTGCCAGGGTTGGTGTGATCGACGATGAGGGCATGATTAGTCAAGTCAGTGTATGAGGCGCTTCCATCCGGACGTCAAGTATAAGGTAGGTTTGTATGAATCCCGGCGAGGCCTCATGAGTTCAACAGAATCAAGACCGCCGTGCGCCCCTGGTTCTGCTCCCCACAAATCAAAACAAGGGAACCAGCCCCTAGAATCAGGACGCGGCAGCAAACCTGAAATCTCATTAGGCAAGCAACTTGAACCTTAGACTTAAACCTATCATCCCAGTCACTTAGCTATGGTACTTCTGCAGCACCAGAATCAGAACGGTACTTGGACAGCACCGTCTCATTGAAATCTGATTAAGCAAGACCTAAACCTTGGCACACTCAGCCTCAGACCACGCGACTGAATGAATGAAATGATCTGGCACCATGCTTATAGCACCTGCACCACAGCAGCCTAGACCGCTACCTCAACTGTTAACCTGCCAAGCAATGCCCACATCACCAGCCTTCCAGCGCTTCTGCTCCCGCTGTCACCTGCGATCGTCTTAGTCGGTGGTTCATTGGTTGGCTTGGATGCCCGTGATGGTTCAAACATACATTTCAATTTCCAACCAGCAGGATCCTTGCACACGCGAAACATGTAAGACTTTGCCCCTAAGCCGGAACCCTTCCACGGTGTCTCGCTTCCAACTGTGGCAAGGTTGGGGGGTCTTTCAGTGGGTTCTGTCGGGGCAGGTGAGCGAGCATCAGTGGTCCTTTGGGGACGTGTTCTTTTGGGCTTCGATCTATACCTTAAAAGAACGGAGGGCTTGAGGCCCAAATAAGCGAACATTATGACCATCAGTGGGTTCTTCCGCGGCAGGTGAGCGAGCATCAGTGCTCCTTTGGGGGCGTGTTCTTTTGGGCTTCGATCTATACCTTAAAAGAACGGAGGGCTTGAGGCCCAAATAAGCGAACATTATGACCATCAGCGGGTTCTTCCGCGGCAGGTGAGCATCAGTGGTCCTTTGAGCGCGTGTTCTTTTGGGCTCCGAAAAGGCTTCGAAAAGAACCTTATCTACACATCAAAAGAACAGAGGGTTTGAGGCCCAAACAAGTGAGCATTGAATTAACGGCCATGCTTGGTTACTGTTCGACCAACTGGCTACCATCACACCGAGGACACGCACCATTTTCAAGCTCACACGCAAAGCTTCGCCATTGCATCGTGTCCCCGACAATGACACTGTCACACTCTTGTGGGTGACTTCCCGGCCCTGTTTACCCGTGCGTCTTCATAGAAGCTTGTATGTATATATATATATATATATATACCTCTCTATCATTCTCTCTCTCTCTCTCTCTCTCTCTGTCTCCTCTGTCTCTCTCTTTCCCATAGCAAGATCGCAGTATTACACCTATTGTGCCGTGAACCCAAGAACAAGCAGGGCATGCTGCTGCAGCAGGCTTCCATGAACGTTGGGCACAACCCCAGAGTCGCCTCAAGCAGAATTTCGAGGACGCGGATTCAATGATTTAAGTTGGACACACTAAAAACTGAACTACTCTGGACGAATCGGGGGTCCTGCCCACGTCAGCAAGTTGAAAAGTTGAAACCCCTCTGTGGCACTTTCAGTCACATGCTCCTGTCAAGGTTCTCGTCGGATCCACGTGCAGGACGAAGTCTAAAGCTTCTGCACAATTGAACTTCTGCCGAACACCGCTCCAGACCTGCGACAACCCATCAGCGTCAAAGAGGTGTCACACGAAACTTAAACGACGAGCGCGGCAAAACGAATGCTGCCCCCGGGCCTCTTGGCCCTTATCTGCATCGACACATAGAAGAATGCACTTGTGGATATCCTTGACGCTGCGCGCGCAGAAATGGGCTTGATCTCGCGCGAGCTTCCATTTGCTGCCGGGCGCTCCCGACCTTTATTGATTCTAGGCGGCCCAGTTCAGTACCAGCATTTACAACATGCGCCAGAATCTCATCTACTGATTATATACTTTGTATTAGTCTGTCAGAGTCTGGCCTCACTACAATCGTATGCGCGATCCTTGCGTTGGCAGCAGCGAAGGCATCCGTCAACCAAATAAGTCGTTGAGATGTGATGGCATTCTTGAAGCTCAGGATTGGTCCTAGTGAATCAACCCGTCAGCTCGGGCTTGAATTTCAAATCGACGTCTGGGGTCTGGGATGATTTACTACTATTTAATTGCGTAGATATCAACCATCTTGGGACTTGGACAGAGGGAATGTGATGAGTTGTCCTCGTCCAGTCGTGAGGAAAGCCTTGCTGATAATGGACCCTCCGCACAATGCCACGTTCCAGTGCAGCAAACGGTTGCTGACGGTAGCATCTTGCTCAATGAAGAACCGCGCGTCCTTTCATAGGTTTAAAGAGCAGAAATTAGAATACACTGGGAAATCAATCATCTTCATAACTGTGGGAAAGGCTTTCGTGCACTTTCGTCCTCCAGGGCCACGACAACAGCATGTTTCGTCTGAAGAGCTCGTTGGATGTCTGCCGAATCTCGCAAGGCTTCCGACACGTGCACGGGGGCTGCTTCCAAGTCTGGCAAAGTCGGCGGAGCCGCCAGGGCATTCTTCCTTGCACGGTCCTTGACGTAGTCTGAATCCGTTTTCGCCTTCTTTTGCAATCCGTCCAGCACCAGCTGCAAGTCGTCCATGCCCAAGGAGTCTAACAAGTCAGCGCCCCGACCAGCGCGGACTTCCTCCACCATGCGTTTGACACCCTTCGCCTGAAAGGGTGTTTTCTGATAGCTTAACTTAAGGTCACAGTTGACTGACATCACATCGACAGGCAATATTATTGATACCGTTGGGAATCAAAGTCACGCAGAGAATCCCGAATCAAGCCCGCAGCCTTCAAGCGCTGAATTTCTCGATCATGTCCAGGCGTTCGGATTTCAGCAGGAATGTCCACAAGACTCTCCGGCTCAGGGACGCTTCCGGCTGAGCGACAGGAAACCTGTTCATGTCGGTGACGCAACCAGCCAGCCATGGAAGGCTTGGCACGTCCTTCAGGCTCCTTGCGCGGGATTCCTTTGTCCACCCTTCTCACGCGATGCGCCGACCCGGAGATCCTTGTTGGGCCGTAGACCTGCAACCACACAGCGGCCGCCTTCCGGGCAATTGTCTGCAGCTCTGCTGGGGGTATGTCGATGACCTGCGGAGTTAAGCTTTGAAAGACTTCCGATTTCCATTTATGATTTCATGCCCAGCGACTGCAGGGATGTCTGAACGTAGCTCATGTCACTCATGTCCCGCTTCCAAACTAGCTTGGTTCAGATTCTGTTGTACAGCGACCTACCTGCTCATCAGAGAAACAAATGACCACAACCAGGAGAAAGGCATGCTAGTCTGAAAACGTTGAAATGGATTATGCTTCAACATAACCTCAACCCTCAACCTCACTGTCATCCTCTTAAACTTGGAGTAACCCTGAAACCATCATGAGTTCAAGGAACCAGGGATGCCTCAAGAACGTCATCGATGTGCCCATCAATCATCAAGTTGTCAGTCAATTGCTGGGAACGGCTAAAAGCTTGCTCCACGCCAGATGTGCTGCCACCCGCTGCCCAGTACCTCACCAGGATGGGTAGAACAGCCGCGACAGAGCTTCGGGTCTGCGGTGTATTCGTGCGGGTGGCCTGCTTCACGGCTGAGATCCAACAGTCTACGCTGTTCAGTTTCTCTTCCGTGGCGGTGCGCCTGGCCACGTACCACAGTCGGCTTGCTTGATCAGCGATATCTGATTGCAGATCAGGCTCTGGCAAACGATACGCCTTCAGAAGCCTAGACAAATCTTTGGAGCGGCAGAAATGGGATCCATTGGGTCGTTCCGTGGCGTCGGACAGGCTGAAAATCTTGAAGGACTGCTGCGTCTCAAAGTGCGGGAATTCAGCCTCCAATGTCCTCTCAGTCAGTGCTACCCAGCCTGACATTCGCGAGAGGCATTTCCCCACTGTCAAAGCTGCAGCGTGATCATCCGTGGGCATGAGTTGCACGGCATCCACACCGCCGCGTGAAGAGGGAATACTGAAGGCCATCGTTCGCTTTCCCAGAATTTTGAGCATGTGACGGGTCAAGCCGGTGTCCAAACAGGCCGGTGCACCACCAGTGAATAAGGACCTGATCCGCGCCCTAAACGAAATCAGCTGACCGGGAAAGTCCTCGACAGGGAACCCCTCGAAGTCTACCAACCTCGTCAGCTCGAGGTTCTCAATGGCACAGTCGCCCAGCATTGCCACCTGAACACACCGCTCATAGTCAAGCCACGTCAAAAACTTGGCTGCAGACTTGCCTGCGTCTTCTGCCTTGCGCTGCAGCGCAATCTTACTCACAGTCTGCAGGAAGGCTGGAAAGAACAAAACCACCCGTGTCAACGGCGCAGCCGTGGATTCGAACCTGTGTGCCACGAAATTCAAATTCTTCATGTGATCGTTCACTTGCACACAGCTCAAGTTGGGGTTTTGCCTCCGGATGTTTTCACAAAACCAATCGCGGAAGATATGGGAGTACTGGATCATGCGTACAGGGGAATCCGCCGCGAAGAGGAATGCGTTGGCCACCTCATCGAGAAACGCGTCGGCTTTCCAGTTCCTGCTTAGGTTGCGCCGTGTGGCATGGGGGCGGTCCCTCATCACCACTTTCATTTGAGGCAGTGTCTCCACCATGAGCCCAGAAGTGGTCTGCTCAGCTAGCATGAAACCAGCCCTCAGCTCATCGCTCGCGGAATCGGAAACAAAGGTTTCCATAGAAGCCTTCACTTTTTCAAAGAGCCCCTGATCCATGGGACTTGCAGTGCCGTGCAGCGACTCCAGGTGAGGGATGTTTGTGCACGGAGTACAAAAGTTGCGAATGATCTTCATTGTTGCTTCTGTCAGGGAAACAGAATCGCAGCCGTCGGACAATCGCACGGACCCCATGTGGCCACTAATCTTGCTTCCCGCGGAGCTGGCTGCAGTGAACCGCACAGCCAATCTTCCCTTGCGGGCATCTTGAAAGATAGTGGTGCTGACAAGCAAGGGTTGGCCGTCCAGGCCGTTCTTTGCCCGCCAAACATCCCGCTTAGATTCGCGGAAGACTTCCGCCAGGCAAAAAGCCATTTTCCTGCACTTCTTTTGCCCACCTACTTCTGGAAGTCCATCCTTGCCAAGGCATTGCTTCCGCATGTGCTGCGCTAACCTTGTGAAGTCCAGCACGGTAGGCGCGCGAACTTCTGAGACGTCCGCATGACTGTCCAACGCACGTTGGTGTAGCTTGCCGCTCTCATGCTTCTCCAGCTTGCGCATTTGCAAAGCATCATATGAGGAAATCTCACCCAATCTCCACGAATCTGGGACTGTGCTTTTCTTGCCAGCTGGCAGCTGCTGACACACAGAACAGCCAACTCGAAAAGGAGCTGCATGAGCTGTTATCCATGGAAACCGATCTTGCAGCTGCTGCCTGTTCCGCTGGAAGTAGCATGCCCCGCATCTAGTAGGATTGGCGCAGTGGCCGTTGCAGTACTCAATACAACCGGCAGATTTCATGGCGGCTTCAGGCAATGATGATGCTCACGACTATTGTTTACCCATGTCTTTCATGCTTGGTTATAACGGCGGCTGCCTGACGAGTAATAGTCTCTCTTGATCAAGTTGTCGTGGCGCGTAGTTTGCCAGCAACTGCTGAGCTTTGCTCTGCTACCTGCCTAACCGGCATGATTGGGGCTTCAGGGTCTCTATTGCTGTGGTTCATCATGTTTTTCAACTTGCCCCCCTGGCCAGGGCCGAGCCGCCGCGGCAGATCAGCAAAATCTGACATCATCCCCAGGCCCTGAAAGGACAATAATTGACAATAATGACCATGGCATGAGGAAGTCTGAATCTGAACACTGTTCCTGCAACTTGAACTTGGATAGGGCGCCAACTTTGTTGAGGCAAAATAGGGCTAAGGACAAAAGGCGATGTGCCAGGGCGTCACAAGCGTGGACTCAGTGACGGTGGGTCGCCTAAAGGCCCATTAGGCGATCCTCCAAAACAGCCCCCGACCCTAGACCCAAGCCCCAAAGTCCCAACAACCAAAGGCGATCTTCCGCCTCAGCCTTGAGGTAAAGCCCCAAACTTGCACCCCGAACAGAAGCGTAGCCCGCCCAAGCTCCCTAAGAGTAGACCGGTCTCCCGCCTCGAGTGGTGCTGCAGAAGTACCACGGGCAAAGGGCGCTGCACAAGCACCTGTCCAAGGATTTCAGATGGGTTTTTTTAGCTTCAGCCCGGTATTGCTGCTACCCTGGGCGTTGCCATTCATGAGGAGTTTCTCAGAAAACGTTCTTGGGTTGTGTGACTTCAGGAAAGCCCCGCGAATTCTAGAACACTGCGACCGTCGGACTGCATCTTGACTTATGACCGTACATGCAGCGTCGAAGCTACCTGGGCCCAGGCTCCCGGGGCCTCCTGCCAGCGACACGCTGCACAGCCTATGCCTCGGAAATCGCCGTGGGCAGCAGTCTTGGGTTGGTAGGTTGCCTGAGTTGCACGGGTGATACTCAGACCTCGCCTTAATCTGAGTGACCTTAGGATTGAGGCTTTCCGGGGGTGAGCTTTCGGGTTTAAGTGTATTCAGAGTCTACGGCCAGCTGCGGAAGTACCTAACTGAATTTCAATGGCTCAGGGCTTCGATTTCAGGTGTTTGGGGGTTCAAGGCCAGGGGTTTACAAGGATTCGAGGGCTGACATGACAAACCTGGTTCGTTAACAGTCATGTGGATCCCTGGCCCACAACATAAGGGCTGAAGCCACCAAAAGCAACCCTCTTCTAACTAATATAACTGAGCATGATTATTTAGTTACATGCTGGCAGAATCTCATTGTCTGTAAACCAATTATATAGACTTTCTGAAAAGGTGCTTCCACAGCACCTGAAATGAAACGCGGGACTTGTGCAGCTCCGCAGAAGAACCAGTTGCAAATTATCTTGCCTGGAGACTCGCGCATGGCCCCATAAAACAAGATTTGACGTGAATCTCCCTCCACCCCCAGCAAGACGTGGTCAGCCTAAATTAAATCTAATGCCACTGAAAATTGCCCAGGCTTGCTGGAGTCCTTCGGGCCTCATCTCTCTGCCGGGTTCCAAGCCTGGGAAGCAGTCGCCAAGAGTGCGAGTGAACAGTGCTGATGATTACTCACTGCTTTCCAATTTGAGATCGTCGTGTTATTATGTGCACGTGGATTACATCGATTTTTTATCTTCAAGACAATGCTCAATGCGATGAGGGTCCTAAGAGAGCTTCGCGTGCAAACCGACACAATAGCTTTGCTTCATTGCCTTCAACACTGGCACAGCTCGGCCTGTCAGCGGCAGCAGCAGCAGCAGCAGCGGTAGGTTCAGGAAGCATGTGGCCTCCAAAGATGGTGCCTGCCCGTGTGGTTCCGAAGATGGTGAGTCCCAGGCCTTCAATGGCACCGGCACCGGCGCCGAGCCTAGGCAGCGCGGTGCCAAAGACACCGCCGAAGATGTCAACGGTAGTGCCGCCGCCTCCCAAGAGGCAGACCGATGCTGGCCGGCTCTTGGACGAGCTCAACAGCAAGACGCCAAGGGAGGGCGAGGAGCCCCCGCAGCCAAAGGGCCCGAACGGACGTGGTGCACGCCCTAACAGACCCTCTCAGCGGTTCAGGGAGACAGGACGAAGCTTTGAAAGGCTGTCGGAACGCTTGACAGAGATGGCGGCGACGGAGGCCAAGCTGCAGTGCCGTTTGGACGCTTTGCAGGCTGAGCTGCAGGCGAGCAAGGATGAGAAGGAAGCGGTGCGTTTTGATCTGGAAGCCCAGCTGCACATGGCTACAAAGGAGGCTGAGGGCCTTCGCACACAGGTCGCCAACCTTACCCAGTGGAATGCAGAATGGCAGCAACAATACCAGACGAGGCTGGCAAGCCTTCCGGATGCAGGACAGTGGAAGGCCTGGTATGATTCCGCCGAAAAGGCCAGGGGGGAGCTTCAGAAGAAGCTGGAGTCGCTGCAGACCGCTCACGCGGCTGAGATGAAGATGGTTCTCCAGGAAGTGAAGGATGCAGCCAGCTCCCGTCATGCCAGCCTATGTCTTGACCATCAGCGTGCTCTGCGGGAGGCCCAGCGGGACCTGACTGCGCTGCGAGAGGAGATCTTGCAGAAGGACCAGATCATCGAAGACCTCAAGCAGGCAGATCTTGTTTGAACTTGGGCCTCGTTCTCGCTGATCTGTTTGTCTCTGACTGAGACAATGTGGTACTGATGCCAGGTGCCCAAGGTTAAAGCCGCAGCGACTGTCAAGCCGAAGATGGAGAAGAAGCCTCCAAAGCCGGCCAAGGCCGCCTTGCAGCCTTACCTGTCGCGAAGCTACTGAACTAAGACTTGGCAGGCATCCCTGAAAGATCCTGCCAAGAAAAAGGCCATTGAGACAGCTCACGTTGAAGAGGCACCTTCCTTATTTCATATTACGTGTCTTAGTCTTCAGTTTCTGAAAGGCCATTCGCCGAGATGTGGACCTGCTTAGCCTGGCGAAGATGGGCAGAAAGGCCGGGATGCGACGTAGCAGAGTTTCATTTCGGTATGGCCGGATAAAACCGATCTGATTGTCAATTCTTGCAGGATCCAAAAAAGAGTTCTTCGGGCGCCGGAAGCAGCAAGGCCTGAAATGAAAATCAAGCTCGTAATTAATCCTTATTGTGCATTTAGCATTGTGCTAGGACGGGAAGACGACGTCGCCAGCGATGAAGAGGGCCAAGACCGACGAGGCTCCCATTAAGTCCACTCCGCCGTTTGTTCCTTTGGATCAATCATCGGTGCTTGGAGGCCGCGGCGGTGAGATCGCCGTCGATGGTAGCGACGGATGTCCCGGGCTTGCAAATAATTAGTCCAGTTCGCACTGCCCTGGCCCCATGACCTTAGGTTCCGAGCCCGACGAGCCCTTGCGAGTGAAGTGAGACGACGTGGTGCAGGGAGTTTTTCGATCGGCCAGGCTTAAATTTAGCCAACAACTTTTAAAAGCTGTGGGCTTCCATGACATGGTTTCCTGCCTGCGATCGACGACCCCGGTAGGCAGCTGTAGGCAACGCCGTTATGGGGGAAGTAAGTCGCTTACCAACTCTACTCCGTACTGTTTGACCCATCAATAAATATAGCAGCAGCCGTAGGTCAAACAATTAAAGTTGCTCAGTGAGTGTTCTTATTCACTTCTTCTCACCCTTCTTTTGCGTGTGCCACAGCCCTGACAAAAGTCCGAAGGATACAGCGCTTGCTGCCAAGCTAATGTTTTACTGTTGTGGTCCTTTCAGAACTATTGTACCTGAGGCTGGACCCTGCTGCTGAGCGTTGGACATCTTCGGTCCAATGATTGTGGACAAGTCAAGGACCCTCGTCCTCGCCGGTGTTGGGCTTCAGGGCTTTCGGTTTAATAAGGTTTCTTGTTTTTCTGATTTGGGTCTGCTGAGTTGGGCGGTTGTAGGGCTTCGGGCTCAGGATTGTCCCAGCGTGTATCCTGATATTTTATCTTCGTCTGCTACGGTCGCAGACCCAACTTAGTGCGATCTTGCATATACATAGGATTTGGGTGCTTTGAGGGATTATTGAGGTCCAGGGTTCAGGCAGGATTGTGTAGCTTAGGGCTTGCGTGGCTTCTGACCTACCTCTTAAAACTTGACTAAGCTAAGCTCGATCTTTAACTAAGCTAGACCAAGGGTACTTCTGCAGCACCCGAGCGGTACTTAGGCAGCACCGCCTATCCTAAATCCTAAGTCATTACTCTACACAAAAGGATCCCTAAGCTAAGCTCGATCTTTAACTAAGCTAGACCAAGGGTACTTCTGCAGCACCCGAGCGGTACTTAGGCAGCACCGCCTATCCTAAGTCCTAAGTCATTAGTATACACAGAAGGATCCTACGCGAGCAAGGTTAGCTCTAGTTACTCTAGTTTGGGGGTACTTTTGCAGCACCCGGGCGGAACTTAGGCAGCACCGTTTATCCTAAGTCCTAAGTCCTAAGTTATTCAATTAAGCGATCTTACGCGAGAAAGGCTAAGTAGCTCTAGTCTTAGTTTAGGGGTACTTTTGCAGCACCCGAGCGGTACTTAGGCAGCACCGTTTATCCTAAGTCCTAAATCCTGAGTCATAATTATACATAAAAGGGTCCTACACGAGCAAGCTCACTTTAGTTTTAGGGTACTTGTGCAGCACCCGGGCGGTACTTAGGCAGCACCGTTTATCTTAAGTCCTAAGTTTTTCAACAAAGCGATCTTACGTGAGAAAGGCTAAGCAGCTTTAGTCTTAGTTTAGAGCAGCAC